ATTTTGGGTATGTTCAAGTAAATTTTACAATTTTTTTTAATGCTTTCAGTTAGTTTGGGTATATTCGGGTCATCTTCTTTCGAAGCCGCGTATTTTTTCGTCGAAGTTGTGTCCTCCTCTTCATGTCTCTGCCTCTACCGCCCTTCATAGCAACGACTTCTAATTCCGTCGATTTTCCGGCAAATGCACCACCGCTTGGCTTCAATCCGACTTCATGGAGCATAAGATTGTTATGGTTTGGATCATCAACAAAAGGGTTATGTGTTATGGATCGTGAAAACACGTGAAAAAGTGGTGGATAATATATTATTTATCGAGAATATTGCTAAAGACAAAATTATCATATCAATTAGACCGTGCTGGTTTACATTACATGATTAATTTGTTTTAGAATCTTTTCAATTTTGTTTGGGTTTGATGAACGCTTCACCTCCTCTAACTGCAGTTCGTCTCTTGTATGCCTCTGAGTTCTATTATTTTCGTTTGCTCTGCGTTTTTGGCTATCACTTGGTATTCTCAAAAGTTGCTTTTTTATTTTATTTTTGTGCTCCGGATAATGGAACATAATGATCTTGTGTTATAAACAATTTAGTTTCATGTTTGTACGTCTCTTAAAACAGAACCAAACCAAATTATGTTTTGTCCACGTTGTTTGTTTCATAATTTTCAGTTTTGGAATTACGTATCTTACATTTTTGTTTGCAGGTCTAGGAAAAAGACAAACCTCAGAGTTTGTTAGAGGTTTTTAATATAAATATTTAAATGAGCATTAATCAATCATTAATTTAAAACGTACGGTTGATCCGAGTCGACCCGGGTCGACCCGAAACCCGGTGACCTGGCCAGCACTCCGGTTCATCGGTATAAAAACATTGCTTTTAGTTTTACCATCAAAATATCATATGCTTTTGATATATAGTTCTCTTATCATCCAACTCAAGGTCTAGAAATTATTAAATTCAAGATGAAATTTACAAAGTTTGTCCGTTGACATTACATCTCCAACCGAGCATATCATCTTTGAGAAAAAGATTTCAAAGAAAGGTTTTTCTATGTACAAAATGCCAAGCTACTGAAAAGATGGAAAGGGTGGGTTACTCGTAAAAGAAAAAACATTAAACATATGATTTAACTTGTGGTCTCTATGGTTTCTCAATCTCACAATTATCTGAGAGATTACCATCCGTATCTGTTGCATCTCCAAGATCGTAAACTCTGTAGTATACAACATTTTTCAAGATTATGATGATGTTTCTCCAGGATGATCTTCAGCACGCTGAGACAGTAAAATGATTCACATATTAGCAATGGCCACATAATTAAGCATCATATAGTGAGACTAACACCGTAAGAAAACAGAACGGCAGTAAGATAAAAGATGTATTTTATAGTCCAACCACCCCAAAATGTTGCGCAGCAATCATGAAACTGACAAGAAACCCAATGCATTTTCAGAGACTATTGCAGAAATGAGAAATGTTGATTGATATAAAGATTAATGTCACAGAGTTTCCATAGCCACAAGATGCAAATCAACCTAGACAAACAGCGTTTCGGGTGCTGAGAGGATGGTAAACCACTGACCTTCTGAGAAGTAATCCAAGGAGGTGGAGGCCAAAACAGCTTGGCATATTCAGGGAGTTTATGGACCACCTCTATCTTCCCAGTCCTGAAATCAAACACTCCCAAATCTCGATCTTGCATCGCGCCCAAGTTATCATCATTGAAGCCATTACCGTTGAAGAACACGGAACGTCCCCCACAGGTGGGTAATATATCAGACGCTGAAGCGGAAAACGAACAGTCATCACCAAGGAACAACATTTTATCCCCAAGATCCTTAACCTTAACCCAACTCTTCTCTCTTTCCACAAATTTGAAAACTTTAAATTTGACCGTTCTCTCATTCACAAAAAACGCATGATGCTCGAAGATCTCCTCAGTGATATCAGGATCCCCATCCACCTCCTCCATGCTCAAATACATATCGACCAACAACATTTCACCGCAAGATTCAATCAAAAACTTCTTATCACCACCAAACACAGAATTTGCAACCAATGTCAATCTCAAAGTCGATAAATCTACAACCACAGTCCTCCCATTGTTATCAACGGCGAATAAACATCCGTCGAACAGAATCACATCATCATAAGGAGAAGGCATGTCATTGATCACAGTCCAAGAACGGTCACAAGACTTAAACACAGCTAACTTCCCAGAAACATGAATCGTAAGCAACACAAATGTACTCTCCGCATCACTATCTAAGTACTTAACAACAGCTTTCTCCAAATACAAACTATCCACAATATCACCAACTGTATTGAAATAACGAAGCTTGAATTCACGACACAACTCTCGAACCTTGAATTTCGATGTATCGAGGGATCGAGGGAAATGTCCAGGAAGAGAATGCCTTCGATCACTCAAGGGATCAAGAAGAGTCATCTTACGAGGAAGATTAAGGTCTTCTTCGATCTTGACAAGCCATCCAGATTCGATGTTCGATTCATGAGGTTTGATGAGTAATATACTCCGTTGTGAGAGGCGGAAACCTACGGCAGAATCTGGGAAGAGGCTGAATCCGTTATCGGGGAGGATAGGGAGGTGATGCGCTGGGAGTGGACGCTTTGGGTCGGTGGCGGATCGCCATGAAGAWCAGACGGAACGGAATTGGATGAGATCGAAGGAGGATTCGAGATATTTAGAGATTAGGTCTAAGAGATCCTTCGGGAGTATTGCCCAATCCACCATTGATGAATTGAAAATAGCTTCAAAGTTCAAACCTAGAAATTCAAC